GTATGATTTTCGGGTCAGGTCGAATTGAGTAAAACCCTACCCAAACTCGACTCGTACACATCCCTACTCCTAACATATAACATGCTCCGTCGAACAGAGAAAGGAATCAAAGTGTTCCTACCTATGAATGGTCACATTTTTTTTAACAAAGATGAATGGTCACATTTTTTTTAACAAAGATGAATGGTCACATATAGATGATGGAAAATGATGACAAAGTTGCACCTTTCACATATCAATGACCCAAAGGGTATTATTTACGGCATGTTATCAAGGACCCATAGGGTATTATTTAAGGCATGTTATCAAGGACCCAAAGGGTATTATTTAAGGCATGTTATCAAGGACCCAAAGGGTATTATTTCGTCTCGTACTATGAAAATTTTATTATCCTACGTGCATGCTTTTATTTTTCCCACTGTTCGTCCTATTTTTTTTATATTGTATTCATTTTCGGCATTCATATTAATTTTGGCTTGATCAATTATTATTGAGTTTTCTTTTCTAATTTTTCAAAGTTATTAAAATCTTTTTTTAAATTAAAAACCATCTTTAAATGATGATTAAAGCGAAAATAGAAATATCGTTGTTAAATATTATAATTAAAATTAAATAAAAAGTAGTTTGAACACGACAACTAACCATCAACCAATCAGACATGGGGCTTTAAAAAAGAATTTAAAAGTTGAAACACAAAAGAGTTGTTATTATATTGATAGAGGGTTACACCAAATTATTGAGTTCAGATCATTATTAAAGTTGAAATATTTTTTTTAAAAAAAGCCCTTTAAAAAAAAGTTGAAATGACCATCCAACTCAGTTGGTAGAGCACAAGGCTCTTAATCTTGGGGTCGTGGGATCGAGTCCCACGGAGGACATTTTATAATTCGGAGGTCTCCTACGGAAGCTGCTCTCAACCTGACATTGGGGGCAGCCTACTATCCTACCTCCCCCTATCCCATTATATATAGGAATAAGGGTCAGCTAATTATTAAAAAAGTTATTTGTATTTCTCGAGGATTTGCCTGTAATACCCAAAAATTTAGACAATGATCAAAATGAAAATTTTGGAAGTTTGATGGCCAAAGTATAAATTTGGAAAACGTTTAGGGAATTAAGTGAAAAATTTCCTAAAAAGAATTATATTTCATAAATATATGGTTTACTCTTGAGATTGGAGTTTTATGAAAATCATATTTTTGGATTTTGAATTTTAGTAAAGAAAGAGTTAAAGCTGGTAAGGAATCGGTAAATTCCGACCGAATTGGAATTTTACAAAAATATGAAGGATGTTATAAAATGGTTGGAAATATTATTATAATATTTTGGATCAGAGAAATTTGGTCTGGAAATGTGCAAATTTTCAGATTTAATCGAAACAGTGGAATTTAGTGACTAAAATGCATGTTTTGAAATTTCATGGGAAATTTTGGAATTTAAAGTCAAAGTAATTCATCTTTGACTTTGAATTATAATAAGGATGAGTTGTCATGGTTTTATGGTAAATATGGAATTTCATTAATGGCAAAAATGAAATTTCTTATTGATTTGAATAAAAAAATTCATTATGTCATGTGTTGGATTATTTTATATTAGACTATCAATAATGGAGGAGTATTTCATCTTCTTCCTCATCCAAGCTTGACGTGGGTTTCTCCTAGGTAAGAGAAAATTTTCAACTCCATATTTTACAATAATTTACTTATTATTTTGAGTAAGTTGTAAATAGAAAATTGTTATACGTGAAAAACTCTATCTTTTGGTACCAATTTTGCATGGTAATCTTGTTGGTGTTCAAAGATCCTAAATTTAAGGGTTTGTGTTCATAAAAATGGATCATGAAATTGATGATGGATTTTGATGTTTGTGAAGTAGTTGATTCATATTCAAGCATGAAAGATGATTAGAACATGTTTAATCTTTCTAGAACTTGTTCTAACCAATTTTGGTCATGGATTGTTTGAGTGAGAAAAATTATGGAAAAATTTGATATGGTTGGAAATGATGAAGGAAGTATTCTACCAGCCTTAGAAAAATTGGGGATCATTTCGTAAGTTTTGAAAAGTTTGGGATAAATTCGTAAATTTTGAAAAATTGATGAAGAATCTAGGGATGAAGTTAAAAGAAACAGTTAGATTCTGGATTTGGCAGTAGGTTCGAAAATTCACCATAAAATATATACAAATAATTTGGAGGTTATTTTTATATATTGTGTTCATATATGGATCTAGTTTTGTTTAAAACAAACGGGGATCAATTTCAAATTGTATACAAATATATATGAATTTTTAACTGAGGAAAAGTCAGAAAAGTCGGACAGCAGAATTCTGTACAAAACAGATTTTGTTGGTGAACTTTGAAAATTCACCATAAATTGTACAAAAAGAATTAGAAGGAGTTCTTTATATGGATAGATTCGTATTCGAGTCTAGTTTTTAACGGAAGAAACGGAATTGAATTCCAGTGTCTATATCAATACATAATAATGATTCTTTAAGGGTAGTGCGAGTTGTCTGAATTATGGAAAATTAATGGGTTGTTGTGTAAGAGTTGTATAATTGATGTACTATGCTGGAAATTGTTGTTTGAGAATTGAAATGAGTGTTATATGTGAAATTGATTATTTTGGGAAGATTGAAATGATTGATGATTTAAGTACAATAATTTCATAGTTGGGGTACTTAAATGTAATTATGCTTTTGTAAAAGCATTTGAATGGAAATAATTTCAATGAGGAATTATTGGTATTAAGAATTTTAGTGGTAAAATGGTGAAGACCATTTTAAGTAAATTGGAAAATTTGGTCCCAATGTTAAAGGAATTATTAAGTACTGAATTATTTGGTGGAAATGAGTTTGAAGTATGCTATGGAATTATTTTGGGATATGGTTATGTTAGTACAATACTAACATATGTATTGTTATAAATTTGTGATTTATACATATCATAGTTGATTTGCAATTGAAGCAAGTCAAGTATAAAAAGGGTATATTATGGACAATAGTGAGGCACAAATATTTTAAAAGACATAAAGTGTCAAGGTGAGTGCAATACATGCATGAAATTATACATGAATGTTTTATACATCATAAGGAAGACTTGCGATAAGTCGACCTTGTTTATATCGACATGATTTTATATCATTTTTATAAATTGACATTGATATGTCAGAGTATGGAATTAAAATGCATTGATCATGAAAAAAAATGTGAAATTTTACCATGAATGTTTTCGGGTATGAACTGCCCAATGTTAAATTTGATAATATACTTTGCCATGGATGGATCGAATAAAGTAGACTATATGCCCAAATAAGTCATTGAGGGACAAGGTATAGTTGGCATGCCATAGAGTATAACAGCTGCAGGTTTTTAATACACTTCGGTGTATATGGTGGGCACGACCTTATGTGTAATACACTTCGGTGTATATGGTGGGCACAACCTTATGTGTAATACACTTCGGTGTATATGGTGGGCACGACCTTATGTGTAGCACTACGGTGCAAATATTACTCGAATACCCAGGGTCCTCAGGGTTGAATATTGGGCTATAGGCTATGGTTTATGGTTTATTGCTTAATAAATGGTAAGCATACAAATAAGCTTATGAGCTTTTGAAATAATGGCAAATATATGGGTAAAATAAGCTTACGAGCTTATGGAATTTAAATGGTAAGTATATTGGAAAAAAATATAAGCTTACGAGCTTATGGAATTTTAAACGGTAAGTATTTTGGTAAAATAAGCTTACAAGCTTATGGGATAAATCGTAAGAGATTTTATATTATTTTGATCATGGTAAAATATTGGATATGTTAGTAAAATGATTTTATGGAAATTTGATTTTTGATATTGAAAATCATGCATGAATTGTATTGCACTGTTAAATGTTTTAATTGCCTCACTAAGTTTATACTTAGCGTGTGATGATTTTCACCCGTAGGTAAAAAGCAAAGAATAAAAATAAAGAGTTCAGAACGACAGCAAGCATCGAGAGGTATATTTAAATATCATTAAGACATTCTATGATGGAATTTGATTTAGATAGTGTCATGTAATTTGAAAATGTTTAATTTAATTGTTGAATAAATTTTGGAAATTTTTATAGTGATGAAAGGTTAATTTTGATGAATTTATATGTATTTTCGGAAGTACTGTAGTAGTTACTGTAGTGTATCGATGCACTGTAGCAGTTGCTGTAGCGTATCGATGTATAATATTAATTCGATTTTTTGATGCACTGTTCGCGGGTACTGTTCATCACTATTCATAAAAAATCTTTCGAATTAAATTGGTTACAACGAAACGTAGTTTTTATGATATGAAAATTTTATAATATCATTTACCATTTTAAGAAAATAAATTTTAAATCGTTTTCGAATAAAGATGGTTTTAAAAAAAAAATCGGGTGACATCCATAATCTGTATAGATATAAATATACGGGTTACGGGTGTTACATTGCCCGTCCAACTCAGTTAGTAAGAGTGCAAGGCTCTTAATCTTGTGGTTGAGGGATCGAGTCTCATGGTGGGCAATTCATAATTCTGACTGCCAGAGGTCTCTCATGGAAGCTGCTCTCAACCTGGCGTTAGGGGCAACCTACTATCCTACTTCCCCCTTACCCCATTACATATGGGAATATGATCACCTAATTTTTTATTGGTATTTCTTGAGGATCTAAATTCGAGCACCAAGAGTATGAGTGTTCAACGTTAAAAAGTAGAGTGTTTTTAAACAAAACGTTGCGTTATACTTATCCTATAACACACCGAAATATCCCCAAATTGAAACCCTATAATTTGGGAAATTTTAACCTAATTCCTAATTCGAAATCAGTGTCTAAATTACAAATTTATAAAGTTGAGATCTATTTTTGCAAAATCCTATAAAGTTTAATGGCAAACTTTGAGATTAACCTAGTTTTCTTTTGATAGCAACTCTTTCTACCCCCGACATTTAAACTGTGTGGCGCCCCATTTTAATTCTAAAAGCAAACCCTAGCAGTAAACCATCAGCCCCCTCTTCAGATACCGTTCCTCTATTCCGCCGCCCTTCACGTCGATTTCTTGTAAAGGTAAGGTCGTCGATCGGTATTCAAGTGTATATCCGCCGCCCCGTCTTTCTTCGTTGCCTTTGAACGGAACTGGTTGCGAAACCCGCGAGCCTTGGCTCGCTCTCGTCGCCGTGGAGGCCTCGTGACGACCATGTGTGGGCGGGGAAGACTCGAAAGGCCTGGGTCGCGGCTGAACGGCGTTGTTTGGCCTTGGGAAGTCTCTGTCGATTGCTGCCCTTCCCATCGCCGTCGCCGCCGCCGACCGTTTAAGGCCACGGCAAGGCCGGCCGTGTCACTACTGATCCATGGGTACCACTGTCGGTGCAACCTTGACGCCGACAGCCCCTATTTCCGTTCTAACAGAATCAAATATTCGAACCAAACCACCGCCGGGTTTTCGATTGAATCGGAAATAATTTTGAATCGTTATTAACTATTATTTAGTGATCTGAAATCTCTGAATTGGGGACGTATTTGGTCGTTGAAATTTTTGCAGAGGAAGTCAAGCCGAGAATCGAATTACCGCCTCTGCCACCGTTACCCACGAATTAGGAACCGAACCGTGTAGCCTGTGTTGATCGTGAGTAGTAACCGACTAGTTTAGCTCGTTAATTTTTTGTAATTTATTTAGAACGAGTTACTCATTTAAATTATTTGTCGTAGGCACTTATTCGGATGGACCTACTGCTCGAGTTGATCGTGGGAAACGTAATTATTGTCGTTAACATTTGTCGAGGTGTGTTTCTATCCAATGCTGGTTGTTGACATGAAAAATTGAATTATGAATTTGACTGTTTTAAGTTATTGGTTGAATTTAACACATTCGAAAAATGTCGTGTTGTAATGTGATATGTTGTATTCGGAAAATATATTGTGCATTCGGAAATATTTAATTATGATGAAATGTTGAATTCGGATTATATGCTATGCATTCGAAAATTATGTAAAATCTTTACATTCGGATCATATTGGAATTTATGTACGTATCTCACATTGCCATGTCATACTGGGTTTGGATTGATAGGGTAAGTTAAGTGTTTTCACTTGGGAGTATTTTCGACAGGCTTTTTGATACCGATATGTGGGAGCTGAAGTGTTGAGAGGATTTTATGAATCTGCAACAGAATGATATAACTGTGACTGACTACGAGATTGAGTTTATGAGTTTGGTCAAGTATGCTCCAGGGTTAGCTTCGTACGATAAGGAGAAGTGTGATTGATTTTAGAGTGGTCTTCGTCCCTGTTGTATTCATGGGTATGATGAATAGAGTGTTCCAATCCTGCTGCTTTCATGGGTATGATGAATAGTGTTCAATTCTTATTTGGATCAGTTTGTTGTTGTCTTCATCGACGACATCTTGGTCTATTCTAAGTCTGAAACCGAGCATGAGGAACATCTGAGGATCATCTTGCAAACTCTAAGAGAGAATCAATTATATGTGAAGTTTAGCAAATGTGAATTATAGCTTTTGGAAGTAACATTTTTGGGACATATAATCTCTACGAAGGGGTATTCAAGTGGATCCAAAGAAGATTAAGGCGATTATGAGTTGGAAGCAACCGAAGAATGTACCGGAGGTTCGGAGTTTCTTGGGCCTAACAGGTTATTACCGGAGGTTTGTTGAAGGTTTTTATATCATCTTCGGCCCTGTCGACACCATTTTTTACATATAAAATATTATAATTCGACATTTTTTTGAAATGACGATGGGAGTCACCATTGACCATTGGGATAAGTAGGTCGAATACCTAAAAAATCTTATTAAACAATTTTGAGGAAACTCATTTTTAAGACGAAAATTAGTTTGCGTCTACCAAAGAACCAATTTTTTTAACTGCCACGTAAACACTTCCGTCCCACTTAAGCTTCTCCCTTTACCATCATTGTGTTGTTTTTTCTAATCTCAGGAAAAGTTCAATGATATAAATGATACATCGTCTAAAGTTTAATGATATCTGATGTAATTTACTGATGTTTATCATGTCTATTTTTCAAGCCAAAACAATATTTTTATGCCACAAGCACATGCCAGACAATTTTGTATATTTATTTTATTGTATTTATTTTGTATTGTTTTGATCGGTGATCTATCAAATGTTACAGAATGGTTATTAGGCTTTTTAAACGATTACAAATTAGGACCATGATTGTTAAAATAGAAATAAATTTCAACAAATTTGAGGATTATTTTATAATAGTTTGATAACTTTTAAGATCATTTTATAATAACTTGATAAATTTTAATGATCATTTTGTTATTATTTGAGAAGTTTAATTACTATTTTATAACATTTGAAAGGTCACTAATAAAAAAATCATTTTTACCAACGTACTTGATATTTATTTTTTTCAATTTTGATAAAAATAAATTAAAAATAATAAGGATTTTTAATGAAAATAAAGATTTTTAACGTAACACTTTAATAAAAAATAATTGAGTAAAAATAATTTTATCAAAAGGTTTAATACAAAATAAGGTCTAAACTATACTTAAAATTGACTTTTGATGTCTAAAGAATTTTTTGTCAAAAATAGGTGCCTAATGTTTTTTCCGTTATGCTTATAGGGACTTACCGTTAAAAAATCGTTAAGTGACAAGTGTTATATTTATGTTTTTTATTATTTTTAAAAATAAAATATTATTTATTTTTTAAAAAAATATGAATGTGACACGTGTCACTTAACCTTTTTTAAACGGTAGTTATCTAAAAGTGTAACGGAGAAAATATTAGGCACATATTTTTAACTAAAAAATTTTTATACACTAGAAATCAATTTTAAGTATAATTTAGACACTTATTTTTATATTAATCCTTATCAAAATGAGTAATATTGTTTCTTGATTAGACATTATTCGATAACTGTTGTTTTGATGTTCTATATTTTCCTTTATTGACTGTTATGTTATTGTCTATAATGTCAGATTATTTAAATTTATTGTTAGTTAATTCATATTTTAATATCATAATATTTATATAAGTCAATGATCTTTAGTGTATTTTACCTATTATTTATTTATTTATTTATTCAATTTTCATAAAAGTAATAAGAATTTTTAATGAGACACTTTATTTAAAATAATCGAGAAATAATAATTTTATCAGAATGAATAGCATTATTTCTTGAATAGATATTATTTGAAGAGTGTTGCTTTGATGTTCTACGTTCATTTATTGTTTGTTATGTTACTACCTATAATGTTAGATTATTTAGGCGTCTTGTGCTCAGGAAATAAATTATACCCTAAAATGTTAATAAATGTGAGTCATTTCTTTCGAATTATTTGGATATTCCTCTTGGAGCCTCAATAAACATCTCTATGTGAAAAACCAGTAGTTAATAAGTTTAATTCAATGAATTTTAGCATCACCGAAGCCTGAAGCACTCGCGCCACCACTTCCGCCAACACTAGCATGGCCACTACCAAAAGCACTAGCACCGCCACTTCCACCAACATTAGTTTTACCACTTCCAGAAGCGCTGGCACCACCACCTCCACCAACATTAGCATGACCACTTCCAGAAGCACTGGCTCCGCCACTTCCAGCAACATTAGCTTCGCCACTTCCAGCAACATTAGCTTGGCCACTTCCAAAAACACTAGCTCCTCCATTTCCAGCAACATTAGCATGACCACTTCCAGAAGCACTAGCTCCGCCACTTCCAGCAACATTAGCTTGGCCACTTCCAGAAGCACTAGCTCCGCCACTTCCAGCAACATTAGCATGACCACTTCCAGAAGCACTAGCTCCGCCACTTCCAGCAACATTAGCTTGGCCACTTCCAGAAGCACTAGCTATGCCACTTCCAGCAACATTAGCATGACTATTTCCAGAAGCACTAGCTCTGCCACTTCCACCAACATTAGCTTGGCCACTTCCAGAAGCACTAGCTCTGCCACTGCCACCAACATTAGCATGACCACTTCCAGAAGCACTAGCTCCGCCACTTCCACCAACATTAGCTTGGCCACTTCCAGAAGCACTAGCTCCGCCACTTCCACCAACATTAGCTTGGCCACTTCCAGAAGCACTAGCTCCGCCACTTCCACCAATATTAGCTTCACCTTTACCGGAAGCACTGGCACCGCCACTTCCACCAACATTAGCATGACCTCTACCAGAAGCACTAGCACTACCACTTCCATCAGCATTAGCTTGACCACTGCCAAAAGTACTAGCATCGCCACTTCCACCAACATTAGCTTCACCCTTGCCAGAAGCACTAGCACCGCCACTTCCACCAATATTAGCTTCACCCTTACCGGAAGCACTAGCGCCGCCACTTCCACCAACATTAGCTTCACCACTACCATAAGCACTGGCACCACCATCACCATCACTTTTAGCTTCACCTTTTCCTGAAGCACTAGCACTGCCACTTCCACCAACATTAGCTTGACCACTTCCAGAAGCACTAGCGCCGCCATTTCCACCAACATTAGCTTCACCCTTTCCGGAAGCACTAGCGCCGACATTTCCACCAATATTAGCTTCACCCTTTCCAGAAACACTAGCACTGCCACTTCCACCAACATTAGTTTCACCCTTGCCAGAAGCACTAGCGCCGCCAGTTCCACCAACATTAGCTTCACCCTTGCCGAAAGCGCTAGCACCGCCACTTCCACCAACATTAGCTTCACCCTTTCCAAAAGCACTAGCGCCGCCACTTCCACCAATATTAGCTTCACCTTTTCCAGAAGCACTGACTCTTCCACTTCCACCAACATTAGCTTGACCACTTCCAGAAGCACTTGCGCCGCCACTTCCACCAATCTTAGCTTGACCACTGCCAGAAGCACTAACACTTCCATGTCCACCTACATTGGCTTGACCACTACCAGAAGCACTGGCACCACCATGTCTACCAACATTGGCTTGACCGATGCCAAAAGCACTAGCACCACCACTTCCACCACTTTTAGCTTCACCCTTACCGGAAGCACTGGCGCTGCCATGTCCATAAACATTGGCTTCACTTCTACCAGAAGCACTGGCCCCACCATGTCCAGCAACATTAGCTTGACCACTTCCGGAAGCACTTCCTCCACCATGTCCACCAACATTAGCTTCACCACTTCCAAAAGCATTAGCACCACCATGTCCACCAACATTGGCTTCACCTTTTCCAGTAGCACTAGCACCACCTTTTCTACCAATATTAGCTTGAGCATCAGCACCAGTAGAAGCACTAACGCCACCATGTGCACCAACATTAGCTTCACCTTGGCTAGTGGCACCAACATCCCCTTTTCCACTACCTCTAACTTCACCCTTTATATTACCACCAGCACCACCATTTCCACCACCATATCCACCAATGTTTCCTTGTCCACCACCATAATGGCTAAATCCTCCTCTCAGTCCACCTTCTCCACCAACTCCTCCACCACCAAATCCGCCAAATCTTCCTCCAAATCCAGTTCGGAAGCCAAAATTATATCCACCACCCCCACCACCATAAGCACCACCACCACCATAACCACCATGATGACCTAATAAAGGTAGAAATGTTAAAGACCTCCTATAACCCTTAGTTTTTTTCGTTTCTTCGGACAAATTTGGATTTTGTTTTGAACTTTCTTCATTTTCAATGACATTTTGATTATCAGCGATCGCAAGACCATCCATCAAAAGAACGAACAAGAGAATAACTATAACGAAAGAAGTAACAACACTCATCTTACCAAGAATCTTAAGTAAAAAAAACTCCATTTTATTCTTTATTTTGTTTTATTTCGTGTTGATTAACTTATCAAGGAATGAAGTTTATATAGGGAGAGTCTGAGTTCACATCGAAGACAAATCAAGGGCCAAGCTTAAAGCAAGGTAGTAGACATTTTCAATTGCATTTACTCCCACTCTTTTCCTTAACTAACAATCGGAAAAACAATAACATTTTGTTCAATCAAAATTGAATATGATTTTAGGGTAAACTATGCATTTAGTACCTAAACTATCAATTTTGATCCGTTTTAGTATCTAAACTTTCATTTTTTTAGAATCACGCCTAATGTTTAGTTTTTGTTTCATTTTAGTACCCCCATCGTTAAAAAATTTAACGTGTTTAGTACCTAAACTATCTGTTTTAGTTTGTTTTAGTACCTAAACTTTCAACTTTAAGTATAATTTTGAAAAAAATTAAAAGTTTAAGCACTAAAACGGACCAAAATTGATAGTTTAGGTAGTAAACATATAATTTACCCTTGATTTTATCATCGTCTCTTTTGCATGTCAAAACAAGATCAGGTCAATTACAATGTTCTTATGCCACGAGCACATGCTGAACAAATTTGTATATTTATTTTATTGCATTTTTCTTGTTTTGTTTTGATCGGCGATCTCTAAAATGTTAATGGTTATTAAGCTTCCTAAACGATTACAAAATAGGACCATGAACGTTAAAATATAAATAAATTTCAATAAATTTGAGGATTGTTTTTATAATAGTTCGATAATTTTCGAGATCATTTTATAACAGTTTGACAAATTTTAATGATCATTTTGTAATTGTTTGAAAAATTCAATTGTTATTTTATAGCATTTGAAAAGTCGCCGACTAAAAAGATCATTTTTACATAATATAATTACCTCTAATGTACTTTACGTTATATTTATTTGTTCAATTTTGATAAAAATAAATTAAAATAATAAAGATTTTTAAGGAGACACTTTAGTCAAAAATAATTGAGTAATAATAATTTTATCAAAATGAGTAATATTATTTTATCAAAAATAATATTGATTATTATGTTACTATCTAAAACGCTAGATTATTTAGATTTATTGTTTGTTAATTCATGTTTTATTATCATATGAATTATATGTTGATATTTATATAATTGTTGATATTTATATAATTGAGTGACCACTAATGTATTTTATCTATTATTTGTTTATTCAATTTTAATAAAAATAAATTAAAAATTAGAATAATTTTTAGCGAGACACTTTAATTAAAATAATCGAGCAATAATAATTTTATCAGAATGAGTAACATTATTTCTTGATTAGACATTATTTGAAGAGTGTTGTTTTGATATTTCTAGTTCCTTTATTGATTGGGGTAGTTCTGCTGTATGATAGTCTTAATATACGGTTAAGGAAATGTCCTATCGAAAACATTATTATTTTTTAATATTTATGGTAAAGCGTTACCTAAAACATTATATTTTTTACCGAAATATTATTTTCGCTAACTAATTTCCGGTAGAACCCAATATTACCATTTCCTGTAGAAAAAAATAATGTTTTAGGTAGTGTTTTACCAGAAATGTTAAACATTTTAGGTAGCACTCAATATTAACATTTTCGGTAGAAAAAATAATGTTTTCGGTAACGTCTTTTCTTAACTGTATATTAAGACTGCCGTACTGAGACATCCCTATTGATTGTTATGTGACTACCTGTAATGTCAGATTATTTAGGCGTCTTCTACTCAGAAAATAAATTATACCCTAAAATGTTAATAAATGTAAGTTTCCATAAAATGATGTCACACTAATAAACGAATCAATGATTGCATGTATTATGTTGTCTAGCATGTAAGTTTATAGTTTACGTAGAGAATTTATAGTTTACGTAGAGAAGTTTTAGTGTTGACGTGATTTTTATAAGAATTATATATGATTCTAGCAAGAAATTAAAATGATTAAATGAAAGGTCCTGATCATATCCTTTGGGTTGGTATCAGGTTTGAAATTTAATCTTAAGAAGACAAATTTTTCTATATCATTCTCGGATTAATGCGTAATTTTTCTAACACAGCGGTCTATTGTCGTCAGGCGGGAGGCTGGCTCAAGTCAAGTCTGTACTGAATAGTCTTCTCATATGCTTCCTATCTCTGTTCCAAATGCTTATTGTCATTAGCAACGGTTTGAACAAGATGATCGTAAAATTCATTTAGGGTAAGATTGTCGAAAGCACAATCCATTGAGTTAAATGAGAAGCTGTGTGTAAACCAGTGTTGGGGGCGGTTTAGGTCTGATCGACCTAAGGGTGAAAAGTCGAGCTCTCCTCGTAGAGGCGGGGCTAGAGGCAGCAAAACTTGTGCAACCGAACAGGGCCTGTAATTGCAAGGGCAAAAAAAATAGATTTATTACAATAAAAATCTCTTTTTTTTGGGTCTAACTTCACTTTACGAGAAATGAACTCATCTTCATAATCTCTCTATCCTACACCGTTAGGATTTGAGTTGGTAATATCATCTATCTCCCTATATATACTGCATTCAAGCTTTGTAATTTTTACTAAGGGCCTTTTTTTTTAGAATTTAAAGACCTCTTTTTAAGAATATGCACAGGGCCTTCAACGTCCTAGCCCCGACCCTGTCTCCTCAACAAGCGGATTTGACGTTCGAGTTGCGAGCGGGATAGTCTGTGGAAGAAAGTTATTCCCCCAAGACCAAACAATCTTCATATTCCTTGTCGTCGAAATCCGTGGAAGATTGCTTTTCGATTAACAATTTGCTTCAAGATAGCCTTAGGTGGAAGATGAATCCGAATGGGGTTTACTAATCGAAAGAGTTCTATGAAAATGATAGATTTCAAGTTTTATGGATAAAAAAGGTCCAAATCAAATATTAATATTAAGCTTAAGAGCAAAAAATTAATGGTGTTTCTAATAATATGTTTAAGAGCAGATGAAAAGTGCAATAAAACATTGACTTAATCTAAGTATTGTGAACTTCTCACCAACATTAGCATGTCCACTGCTAGAAGCGATAGCGCCTCCACTTCCACCAACATTAGTTTTACCTCTGCCAGAAGCACTAGCGCTACCACCTCCACCAACATTAGATGTTCCACTACCAACAACATTAGCACCGCCATTTCCACCTGTTTTGGCTTCACCCTTACCTGTAGCACTCGCACCGCCAACTCCACCAACTCCACCAACATTAGCTTCTCCCTTTCCAGAAGCACTAGTGCCACCTACAATGGCTTGACCACTACCAGAAGCACTAGCACCGCTACTTCCACCGACATTAGCTTGGCCACTTTCGGAAGCACTAGCACCTCCACTTCCACCAACATTGACTTGACCACTACCAGAAGCACTAGCGCCACCACTTCCACCAACATTAGCTTGACCACTACCGGAAGCACCGACATTGCCACCTCCACTATCATTAGCTTCTCCCTTTCCAAAAGCACTAGCACCACCACTTCCACCTACATTTAGCGCGTGATGATTTTCATGCGTAAGTTAAAATAAAGAAAAAAGACATGAAGTGAGAAGCTTTCCTAGCATCTTTTGGAAATCAAACCTACCGACACTATCAGTAAGATATCGTATCTTAAACTTATTAGTAACATGTACATTATATAGTTGGTTTACTTTATCGAATTTATTTTTAAAAAAGTATGTAATAGTAAACTAGAACATTTTATTTTGGGTAGTTTATTTATGTTCGTATTTACGATTAAGTAGTTTATATATAATACTATGTTATAAATGGTTTTCAAAATCAAGCAGTGTTTAGACAATTTCATATAGTTTATGAATAACACTAAACTGCCTAATCGCTGCTTGAAATCAGATTCGTTTTCAATAATTAAATAATGTTTTATGTTTTTATACGATTAAGGAAAAAGTTTAAAGTTGAAATAGAAAATATTTAAAAAAAACAAAATTTTAAGTATTTATGTTTAGCAAAAGTCTGTTAAGTTGATGTGACATATTTAGCTTGCATTTCGAGACATATATGGTCTATGAGTGTTACACAGGGGGTCAAGATGAACATATACATGAAATTTGAGATCGAACGACTACCATCTACGACGAGCGACCACCTTCTATTTTATTTTATATTTTCAAATATTTTATATTAAATAATAATAAAAAGTGCCACGCCATGTCAAAATAATAATAAAATAATTTGGAATGGTCTAAACAAGATTAATGTCAAAGTTTAATAAACAAAATAAAAAATTAAAAGTACGGTGAATAAAATAAGAGAAAAAATATAGTTTAATAAGTAACGATGTAATTTTAAAAAAATAAAAAAAGAAAAGAAAAAGAATTTTTTTTAAATATAATATAAACTTTATTTTTTTAAAAATATATAATTATAAAAAAATGAATTAAATAACCGAATTATGAGTAGAGTTTAAGCAGATGTGAGGTGCAGGTGCCAACACGTAAGCCCTATCTTTTTTTTAACCCTAATTTTCTTTATAAATAGTCTCACATTCCAACTGATAGGTAAAGCCTAATGTTCTTTCATTCTACAGATTATTTGGGGAAAAAAGGTTCAGCCGCCGGAGACGTAACCTATTTTAAGCGTTGATCTTCATCCCGGGGCGTCGAGGAGGTTTGAATCGTTGGGTTTAGATTCAATGCGGTCGGGGTTAGCGATAGGATTATGGATTTGTTTGCTGATAGTAGTATTGAATTTGTGATAATGTTCTTGAATCTTCTTATGAATTTATACCCACCATTAGATTCAATCCTTGTATTGTTTTTAAATTACAGTGTATTATTATATATGCTTGATTTTTTATGAGTTCAGTTTGATTATAGAAATACATTCAAGTGTGGTTGATCTAAATTTAGGTGCGTTTTATTTCAATGATTCACTTATGTATTTGAATTACTTGTCTTTTGCAGCCTGGCCACACGTTACATACAAATGTATTCAGTCCGCCTTACAGGTAAACGCAATAATATATCATAGGAGCAATATTTGCAGGAAAATCTCTTGGATAAGTGTTGGGAATTTGGGGAATTATGAGGATACCATAATCTTTTGTGTAGAAAGTTGTACTTGGACAGATACGTGCATTGTGTTTTCTGGAAATTAAGACGGCTTACAGAATAAGATTAAGTGAAATATATAAAGTTAAATCCCCATTTCTAGAATACTTGCATAACAAATAAGTATTTAAAGAATATACTTTTTTTCATTTAAGTAGTCAAAGTTGTCTCCTTGGTCAAAATAGGTACTTATTTTGTCATAAAATACTTGGGTATCTATTTTGATAAAAAAGATAACTTTAGATATTTAAAAATACTTTAGGTATTTAAATGAAGAAGAAAGTATACTTTAGGTATTTACTTGTGTATTAAGTCTTTCTAGAATTTAGAAGTTTGAGTTCGTGTACAGTAAGAAACTCATGATCTTTAGTTTATTAAAAGTACTCTTCCATCCAAATTAGTTAGTAGTAAAAGTAATGGTTAAATCAATTAAGTATAAACTTAAACAGCACGTGCCGTGCATGGTATAGTTGTAAAATATATTTGTATCCAACACGAATGTAGTTATGTTTTTCAAAGTTATTTTATATATTTAAAAGGATCCTTGGAATAAATCTCTCTGTATTAAAGTGTCGTACACAAAAACTAAAAAATAATTAGTTTACACAACATAACAACTGTGGTGACATGTCCTATATTAAAGGTTTATTTATTTTTCAACACTATCATTTTCCATGCAAAACGACATAGTATGTGCCATAGGAATGATGTTATAGCTAATTTATTATTTATTTGGATTCAAGTGTGCATCTAGGTGTTTGACCGCTAGGGTTCTGCACAAAGGACATAATATATATTTAATTATAAACAATTTATTCAATATAGACAATAGTGAACATGATGCTTAGAGTTGATGTGGAAGTTAGTCGAAAGTTACTTGTAGATTTGGTGATAAAGTTAGTGATGAATTTGATGACAAAAAAGGCTGACATAAATTTTGTCATTTAATTTGTCACTAACTTTGTCACTAAATTTATAGTCTTCTACTAATTTTACCATCACATTTGTCATCAACTAAGAATGCAATAATGCTTTGGTTAAGCGGTTAATTGCACTTCAAATGTGAAATGATATCTTCTAATTGTATTAACTGTGTTAAGTTGATAGCTTCTAAAGAAGAGAAGTTAAAAAACAAATGATCCTGTCCTTTGAACCAAATTGATTTTACAACCTTAAGGACGCTTATTTTACACCACGATGATTAGTGGGAAAGAATCCACGTGTTGGGCCCCGCCTTTGTTTACTGGGTTTGTTTTGGCCTCTGTTTTATTGTTGTTTTTATTGTCTTGCATATTTTTTGTTCCTCTTGCCACTTTTTACTTCTAGTAGGTGCCATGAACATTGCTGGGAGGCCAAGCTGAGATTTATGCTTCGTGGTTGAGGAGTTGCAAAGCTTTTATGAGATAAGAAAATTTAATGAATTCAACGTGCTAACATACTATTGATTCTTTTTTTATAAATAATTTAACAGAATTAACGACCAGGTTATTTTATTTAACATTCATCAAATGCAGGCATCAAAAGTGCAACTCTTTATAAATGCAGGTACTGATTTAATATAAATATATAAATACCTCTTTTATAAAATATGATACATTGAAGTACCAAATAATATATTAAACCTATGTATGTGTGTGTGTGTATGCCAATGTTCCAATTTCTACGAAGTTGCTTGTTTACTCTATTCGCCCTACCAATCTCAGCCCTTGCAAGTCTCTTAGAAACAGAAGTATTTTATTTTTATTTTTTGCAATGTTTGAAGGATGAGGGCTAGATTAATTATTGTCAAATTTGATTCTATTACATATATTTGCTTATTGTAATTTCTGAGCTTTAATTTTTAATATTCTTAATATTTGATACACTGATAGCTCCACTGGGAAGACAATGGCGGAAAACGTACAAACCTACCTTGTTTTCCTGATGGACAGGTTGTTACTGTTGATTTACCACTGAAAAGGCTACCCTTGTTTATCTTCGATATGCCGTGAATTGAATGTGCAATGAGTCTAATCACTACCCAAAAAATCATTTCCAGGAAATCATGAAACCAGTTTTAACCCTTCAAGGAAACAGGGCACATCCAAATAGTAAGAGGGTATCTTGCACCACCAGAGGGTATCTTGCACCAGAGGGTATCTTGCACCAGCTGGTATCTTGCACCAGAGGGTTCTGGAGCAACAATTACCTATTAAATTCTTTAGTCAAAGCAATTTAACACTTTTGGACAAGGCTAAGAGTCAATTTGTTGATAAAATCAGTTAATGTATATTTTAAAAGTGTTTAGAAAGAATTTAACAAATGCTAATCTCAATTTGGTTAATCAAACTCTAGTTAAAACAATCAAACTGTGGGAAACCATTTGTGTTTTAACTTAAACCAATATCAGTACGACTATTTTTAAGGGTAAATTACAAATTAACCTTTTTTTGTGTAATCGTGTTCTACACGTTGGGCCTTTGTCTATTGGGCTTGTCTGGGTCTCCGTTTTATTGTTTGTTTCCTTTCCCCTCTGATCTTTCTAATCCACATCCATCTTATCTCGAGTGACCCCACAGCCGTCACCATGCAAGCCACTTGTCAGAGCCCTCAGGCCACCGCATTTCCGTCCCGGAGTTCCGCCGCCTTTCTAACCCGGCGAGCCTCCTCCTTCCCCACTTTAAAGCCATTCGCCGCCCCTCCAAACCATCGTCATTGTTTTCGAAACTTTCAGTTCCCTCCCTCATTTCCAACAATTCGACTCAAAAAACACAGCTCAAGTATAGCGGATTCGATGCCACAGGCCACGGTGTACGGCTTCGGATCACCGGAAGCTGACTTGCGGAAACCCAAAGTCGGAATATACTCGGTGTCCTGTGCGGGGAACAAGTGCAACGCGCATTTGTTGAAGTGGTCGGAGGAAGTGAATCTGGGCGTTAAAGAGAGAGAGATGGTTGCCTTTAGATCCAATACGGGCGAGGTTAGCGATGCGACCACAATGGGGAATAGAGGGATGTGCAACGGTTTGCAATCTAGGGATTTCATTGCTGATAGCATTGCAGCGAGGTCGAGGGCTGGGCAGTATGACGGGAATATCTCTATTCCTGGTTGTGATGAAAATGTAAGTTATATTATTCTAACTTTACTCCTTTTTAAATTCAAAGCCGCACCGTTTGATTTTTGTTGATTTGTTTATTTAGGTAATATCTAATAGGTGGGAATTTGTTGAAAAGCAAAAAGATTGGTGGCAAGTTCAATGGTATAAGTCATTTTCAATATAACATAGAAAAATTGCCTTGGGAAAATACTAGGGGAAAAAAGGGTGTTTTTGTTGTATGCCCTATTGATTTTAATTGTGAGAAGGAGGAGAGAAGAATAGGGTAGTAAGCTGCTTTTCTCTTAAAAGTGGTCTCCTTATTGTTTCAATGGATAAAGCTAATCAAAGTGATCATTTAATTCATTAATGCTACTTTATGAATGGAGGTAAGGATTATTGCCATGTGAAATCTAAATGCAATCTTTTGTTTGGTTTGAAGATGTCAGGTGCAATTATTGCAATGGGAAGGCTCAATCGCCCAAGTATTCTGATTTATGGTGGAGCCATCAAGGTTTGCTGTTTTGCTTTGTCTGGCAGAACTGCTGTACATCGACTAACCTTCTTTAGTTGCAAATGACTCATATAGGCATTATATCCAATTAATATTGTTCTTATAACATTCTGTTGCAAGTTTTCTGTGGAAGATCGACAGACTCTTCAATATTCTTTATTGAATACACATTTCACCCCTCTTATGTTAAGGATTGGTTTCAAAGTGGAAAGCACTCTGCCGAATGAGTACTTGTATACTTTATAATCTGCAGCTTGCATTTTATATGTAAAAATTTTCCTGTCGATTCACACCCACTATAAAAGAAATGAACGTATGCATGGCTTAGTATGACATGTAGGTGTGTTGGCATTTGGCAATTTGATTACATGTTATGTATTGAATGAAATTTGTACAATTGGTTGTTCTGGTTCTCTCCGTTGTTTCTTATACATGATTACGTCAGATTTTCACATAACTGTAATTTATCTAAATTTGGGTGGTGGTGTCCTATTCAATGATTTATTTATATACATTTTTTATACTTGTCTTTTGCAGCCCCATCATTTTCATGGCAATACAAATGGTATAATATCTGACTTGCAGGTAAAAGACAATGATATGCCGTATTATTGTTATGCTAGTTGATTACATTTTTCATTTTATATCTTCATCTTAGCTGGATATTTTGAAAGGTATTGGAGTTTCTGTGGCTCTCTGAATATTTTTTGCTTTTAGGAGTGATGATTGCAAGAAAATTTCTTGTATTAGCGTAAGGATATTGAGAATTATGAGGATAAATACACTCAATGTTTTTCATGATCTATGGTTTTTATGGCAAGTATATGAGAATTGAAGTAATGACAGTGAAAATTTGGAGCCCTTGTTACATTGTTTTGGTTTTACTATTTCTCTGAACTGACTTGGTACTCACCCTTGAGGAGCAATATTTGCTTCTTTGCTTTCATTTTCTCTGTTTATCTTCTTCCCTTGTTTTACTTTTTATGAGTTGGAGGATTAAAATAGGGACCAACTTACTGTTTAAACTTTAGAGCTCTTACATTATTTTGGTTTTACTCTATGTCTGAACTGAAGTAGTACTCACCCTTGAGGGGCAGAGTTTGCTTATTTGATTTTGCTTTTCTCTCTTGTTCTTCTTCCATGTTTTTATGAGTTTGGAGGATTAAAATAAGGACCAACTGATTGAACAAGTTTTCTCAAAATCAATCAATTTCGTTCGAATGTCTACCTAGAGTTAATATGTTAAGATTGACTTTTATTTCATTGGTTTATCTGAAAATACTAGTACTTTTTCTCAATTATGGTAACCTTGTAAGGTTGGTTTTTTTTTCTTTTTTTGGCGGAACAGTGCTCTAGAGAGTATGTAAGTGGAGAAATAAGTGATGAGCAGAGAGCCTCTGGGGGAAAATATGCTCCAAATACCCTGGCATCTGCAATGGAAGCTTTGGGAATGTCTCTTCCTTACAGGTAGAACTATGCTCACTCAGGATAATTTCGGTTGTGATTTTGAATTTCTGCAACATTTTTCAATTACTATTTTTTGTTTGTGCCTGACTAGGTCTTCAATATCTGCTGAAGACCCATTGAAATTGGTTGAATGCCGTTTGGCTGGAAAGTATCTACTAGAATTGTTGAAAATGGATATAAAACCTCAAGATATTATCACCCACAAATCTTTACGTAATGCAATGGTTATTGTCATAGCCCTGGGTGAATCAACTAATGCTGTGTCACATTTAATTGCCATAGCAAGGTGAGAACTTATGCCAGATATCCCTTGGGTCTCAAAACTTTTTGAAAATTTGTGGAAGTGAATATTGGAATTATTCATGGCAGGTCTGTTGGGTTAGAATTGACTTCTGATGATTTCCTGAAGGTTAGTGATGAGGTTTCATTTCTGGCTGATCTGAAGCCCGGAGGCATATATGACAACATGGAGGATTTACACAAGGTATAGGTTAACTACAGATCTTTTTTCCCGCTAGAAACAGGAACTTAAATTGACATAAAAAGTAATACTTCATACAATATTAAGATAAATAGGCTGGGTAAATGCATCAACCAAAAGCAGCAGCACCAATATAGAGTTTGCTGGTGAATTACAAACATAACGAAAATAAAAAATAGCACAATTATTTGAGGAAACAATAGGTTAAAATTTAGTTTCTAGTTTTGCCAGGGCATCGGTGCACTGGTTGGCCTCCTTGAACATGTGCTGAAAGGTCCTACTCAGTATTGTATTCAGGAGTTTCCTCCTATCATTTATCAAAGTGGATAGCACAAGGTTAGGATTCTTTCAGTTACAAAATAAAGCTATTAACTGAGGCAACATCACTTCTTTTTCTAGTTTATCAATTCCTAGGTTCCTAGTCATCTCTAACCCATCCCTCAAAGCCCAAAATTCTGCTTTGATGCTAGTAGCATTCGAGATGTGTTGAAACAAACCAATTATCCTGGTCCAGCCTTCCCTAGGTCTCCTAAATAGGAGCCATCTGAATTAAGTTTCTTCCAATCCGTAGCAGGTGCCTTCCATTGAACAGGGGAAAAGGATTGGTGTAAGAGCAGTTTTATGGGTGGAAGTAAAGCAGAGAGTTCTGCATCTTCTTCTAAAGGCTTTTCGGGGGATGTTCTCTTGCGTGCGGGCATTGCGTGAGGTCCAATGTTACCACATCATTGATCCAAAGATCAAGCACCAAGGAGTTTTTGGTTTAGGAAACCAGATTTTGGAGTTAAGGTTGCTCGAGAGCCATCCTTCCCATCTTCCATTTGATTTTGGAAGCTAGGAATTGTTGATTCGGAAACTATTCCACCAAGAAGAGTCTTGTCAATAGGGCACGCAGTAAATATTTGACGGTTTCCTGATGGTTTAGGCAAAATGGGCGGATATTTCTAGTACTCATACCTCTAGCATCAGGTAATTCCTCATGGGCAGGACTTTAAAAGAACATTCCCATAAAAATATTTTATGTTTGGGTTGGATCTTGGACTTCCAAATATGGTCTTAGAAAAGCATCAATAAAATAGTTTGGTAGTTGTTGGGGAAAGGCCAAGGGGCTGATACTGTACCAACATTCTCTTCTCTGGTGAAGTGTCCAAGTGTTGCCCATGGCATTTAGGGGACCTGTGAATTGGACATGTAACAAACCATGTATAATCCAATTCCATTCTATAAACTTGGCAGTCCTTCCATCGATGATAATAAACCGAATCCCTTGCTCAAGTAGAGGGCTAGTTTTGCGGAGTGCACTTCATGTAGGCGAAATATCACATATCTGGGTCTTCGATGTGTTTCCTGGGAGGTTCTTTGAGAGTGATGTAGCTACCCACCAGCTATCTCTTTCATGAATGATCCTCCAACCCAATTTCATAATCTGGGCTTGGTTTTGGAATTTCTGTACTTGACCCAATCGCCCTTCAGATTTTGGTTGTATGCTTTTCTCCCAATTCCCAAGACAGTTTTCTTGTTTCTTCTTTGCCTCTAGAAGAGATTGTGGTTGATTCGTTCAAGTGGTTGCCAAATAGTTGTCGGAAGGTGGCATTTCATATAGTTTGTGGGAATGGTTGCAGTGGTTGATTGGATTAACATGAGTGATCTTGCTGGTGAAAGTAGATTTTCTTTCCAAGAGCTCAATTTGTCTTTTCGCTTTTTTTTTGAGTGGGTAATTAAGGCAGTGCCTCTACAGCTTAAGAGGTATCCCTAAGGAGGCCATTTATATCACAGTGTAAGAAACCCTGAAGAAAGGTCTGAACAGGGCCAAGAAATGAGTGTGCTGAACTTTGCTGACGAGAGAACTTGGTTAGAGCATCAGCAGCTCTATTGGCTTCGCGACGAATGAGTTTATAATCCACAACCCATGCGCGGTCTTGAAAAGAGGCGATGACTCTGACAATGTGTGAGGGGTTTGAGCATGCATTTGAAGAAGAAACCATGAAGTAAACATCTCTATTATCGAGTTGACACTGAACCTTTTCAAATCCTTGAGTTCATGCTAGCTTTTAGGCCTTCAAACAAACCCCAGAGCTATGCCTGGAGGACAATCGTGAAAATTCTCCTGAACATTCTCTTGATTAAAAGGAATAGGTATCTCATGGCAGTGTTTATGGGGATGACCTGTTTTTCCACGAATAAAACATAGCTCATCTATCATTCATATTAAATATCCTTTTTTACCCCTTCGACATAAATTAATTTCCTCAATGATTCATCTAAGCTCACCTAGACAGAAACAAGCAAACTTGCCTTTCTCCTAGTACTGGTTGCATTGTCAACTCTGGAGAGGCATCCCTTGCTCTTTCCTATTTGAGTGAGAATCTCAGAATCATAGTATTCAAACGCTGATTCTGGTAATCTCACCCATACTGCCACTGGAGCAGCAACAATAGGGGTGGTTGCGAGGGACCACCACGGATTGGTTTCTGCTGGAGTAGCCCGTACACTAGAAGGGGTTCAAACTGCTGAAATGGCTGAAGGACAAGCCTTCATGGCTGGACTCTCTCGCGCACAGCTGAAAAGGGTTGGAATCAGGTAGTCGTTGAGGGAGACGTAATATCTATAGTGAGTTGTCTGACCAACCCCGTGGTTGATATGTCTCTAGGCAGGGTAAATCTGTGAGAAGCCAGCTCTCTATTGGCACGACACCCTGAAATCCAAGTCCTTTGTGAAGGCACAGCGAACAGAGTAGCTCATACACTTGCTGAATCGGCCTTGTAATCTGTCTTTGGAGTTTTGTTTTTTCCCCCCCGAAAATTTGAGCATCATTAAAAACCCCTTCTAGAGTCTATAAGGGGAAATGACAAACGATGTATTGGATGATGCCTTTTACGGTTAATATATGAAACTGATTTTCTCATAAAAAATTATCTGACATTTATGTGTATGCTGAATATATATGTTTTGATTCTTACCAAAAAAAAATTATATAATGTTTTGACAGATTGGAGGAACACCTGAAGTGATTCGTTATCTTTTGGAGCTTGGGTGTCTTGATGGGGATTGCATGACAGGTATGTCAATCTGGATTCTACTAAGATTTCTTTATTTACTGCAATTCTAGAGCTTTTAATTTGCAATATTCTCAATATTTTCCACAATGATTTTTCCACTCTAGTGACTGGGAAGACAATGGCAGAAAATGCACAAAGCTACCCCCTTTTACCAGACCGACCGGTTGGTACTGTTGTTTTATCCCACTGGGAAAGGGTAGGTTCCTTCTACATGTTAGATTTGAATGTGTATCTTTCCGTCAAGAATACGAGTTTGAATTTGCTTTCCTTGTATATCTGCATTTTCTAAACTCTGAACTCAAAAATTTCCAGGAAAATGTAGCAGACAGTAGAGGGGAGGGACCTAATTGGGGATCTCAAATGTTGACTCTAGCAAGTGTAGTGATGGGAGCAATTCTTAGTAAGGTACTGTGATTTGGAGTTGATGGACTGTTTATATTTTTCAAGGTTTTAAAACCATCATTTTACATTTGAAGTGCATTAATTCCCTAACTAAAGCACTTCTGCATTAGGAAACTTCGGTGGATTATGCGGTGAAGTTGGTACTGAATTCGGTGACAAAGTTTCCGATAAAATTAGTTGCGGAATTGGTGAAGGTAGTAATGAAATTGGTGAGAAATGCACTGACAAGATCAGTGACAAAAGAGTTACTGACAGAGTCAGTCATAAGGTTTGTGGCACCACTAGCTGCATATTTGGTGAAATGGTTTGTGGCAGATTTGGTCGAATGGTTCGTGACAAAGTTAATGACAAAATTAGTGGCAGAGTTTGCGATAAAATTAGTGGCGGAATTGGTGAAGAAGGTAGTAACGAAGTTCATGAGAAATGCACTGATAAGATCAGTGGCAATAGAGTTACTGACGGAGTCGGTCATAAGGTTTGTGGCACCACTACCTGCATATTTGGTGAAATGGTTTGTGGCAGATTTGGTCGAATGGTTCGTTACATATTTGGTGGAATGGTTAATGGCGACGAGTTAGTGTTGAATTTGATGATGATCCATGTCATCCTTGGCATCTAATGAAACAAATGTAAGGATAGTTTTGTAATAAGGTCAAATAAGCTCTAGTATATTTTGTTTTATATTTTATTTTATGCGTGGACTGTTACAATTAAGTAGGGCTAGGGGTGTAAATGATCCTGGCTTGAACGAACAAGGTTATGTTCGTATTCGTTTGTTTTTTTAAAGGTATTCATGTTCGGTTTGTGTTCTGTTAAATTTTTAATATCGTGTTCGTTTATTTATTTTTGAATGTGTTCGTTAGAGATGACCATAGCCAGATTTAAATCCGATCCGGATCGGATAAAAACTGATCTGGTTTTTTCACCAAGTCAAAAAATCGGTTTATAAAAAAATCGGTTCGGATCATAACCGGTTTGGAGGGCTGGATGATGTAACCGGTGTAACCGGTTTCGGTTTGAAAAAAACCGATTTTTAAAAAAATTGGTTTTTAATCCGGTAAAAAATTCGGTCATTCAATTTTTTAAACCCCATGCCAGATTTTTTTCGGATAAAAAATTTCAAACCGGTTTTTAATTCGGTAAAAAATCCGGTCGTCTAATTTTTTTCCAAATCGGCTATACTATCCGGTTTTAAAATATCCGATCCGGTTTTTAAAAAATCGGTTTTTCTCAAATCAGGTTTCGGATATTTTTTACGCAAAATCAGATATTCGGATTTTTGTGTACTTCTAGTGTTTGTGTTCGTTTATTTATTGTTTGCGACCGTGTTTATGAGTTTGTTTGTTTAGCGTTCATTTAGTGTTCATTAGCTTTTATTTAGTTTTTGTGTGTCATTCATTTATATATTTAGTTTTTAGTTTCATTTGCAAGAAAAAATAGTAAAATTACGCCACTAATATTTAAACTCTTTAAAATTCATAGTTTAAAATTTAACTTTTATTATGTGTCTAATTTAATCTATATATTTATCAATATTTAGTATGTAAAAAAATCATAGGAGAAGGAGAATTGAGTAAACGAGTTTGTTTATGAACATGAATGAATGAGTCGATAAACGAGTTTAAAAACAAGCTCATAAACAAACTTGTTTATGAACATAAACAAATAAAAAAGTTCGTGTTTGTTCATTTATTAAAGAGCGTAAATTTTTTTTGTTCATGTTCGTTGATTTAGTTTATAAGCGTACATAATCGAACGTTATATAAATGGGTTCACGAATAGTTCACCGAATGCTTTATTTATTTACACTTGTGATTAGGGGTGGAATTTAGAATTACTTTTAATTTTATTCTAATATTAATATTTAGAAAATTATTATTTTATAAATTTGAGTCATCAAACTTTTAGTTCATTTTTATTTTGATTCATGTCGTTACCTTCCGTTAGTGTTTACTGACGTGACACTTAATCCCGTTGATTTTATGATATGGCAACTTCTTCTTCCTCTTCTTCCTTCTTTCTTTTTCTTCTCACACACCCTCAATGATATCTCAAATCCAAAACATAGCCGTTTCTTGAGTTCTCTCTCTACTTTCTTGGGAAAATCCAAAAACCAAACTGGGCCCTTGGAATTAATTTATCTCTCCCAATGATCAAACAAAGGGAAAAGAGGAGTGACCTAAAGTATAAAATGTAGTACACACAAAGGCAAACATATGAACGATGATCACCCCTACATATGCTATGAGTCTGATTAGTTTGGATATCAATTCCTTGTGCAGATGATTCACTACTAAAGAGAACTTTTTTCGATGAAAATTCCGTCAAACAGCATCAAAGGTATTTTAAATCATTGATATTTTGTGCGGATTGGTGGGCAGAAGATTGAGATCCAGGTCTCAAGAGGAGGGCTGCCCCCTCAGGGAACAATTAGGGAACATAAATATTATATTGTGAGACTAAAGACGGGAGCGGTCCATGGTTTCAACTAAGAGATGTATAAATTCCAAAATTGCAAGCTCATTCTGCAACATTGAAGAAAAGAGCAGGATAAAGATGAATACAAGTCGGCGACCAAAGTTTTGTTCGAATCAAAATGGAATCAACAATTGAGGCATCCACCCTAAAAATTAGGGTTTTCCCGATAAAGTAGAGAGAAGTTGAATCTTCTTGGGAAAATATAGAGAGAAAAAGAATTCAAGAAATGGCAAGGTTTTGGATTTGAGATTTCATTGAGAGATTACGTGAGAAGAAGAAGAAGAAGCTGCCACATCACAATAGTTAATAAGGTTAAGTACCACGTCAGTAAAAACTAAGGGAGGAAACGGTAGGAACCAAAATGAAAATAAACTAAAACTTTGATGATTGTATTGTAAGTTTCAAAAGTTGAATGACCAAAATATAAGTTCCCTAAACATTAGCGGACTATTATATACTTTACCCTAATTTTAATTTAAAAAAGATGACGGCAACTTAGTAAAAGGTCACGTGATGTTGTCTGTCCATCGCCCTTTTAGCCCAGCGGGAAAAATTAAAATTTAAAATTTAAAAACCTCGCGCCAGTCCGTTTAGCAATTACGGCACAGCAATTATTTTGCTAACTTTTCAAAAGAGGGCTAATCTAGTTTTGGTCCCCCATATTTTCCATTTAGTTCTTGGTTCTGCAGTTTGCAATGCATTTTATACAAAATAAAACTGAATAGAACGCATCGCTTGACATGCTTAGGAAATTTAGCAAGATAATTTTTTAAGAGTTAATTGTATCATATGTCCCTAAACATTGATATTTATTTCAAATTGAACCCTAAACTTTTGAACATTCTAATTTCATCCTCAAACTATGCTTTCATTTTAAATTAGTCCCCAAACTTTTGAATATACCAAATTCATCACCAAACTATAACCCTCATTCTATATTGATCCCCAAACTTTTAAATATTCTAATTTCAACTTTGAAGTTTTGAATGATTTAGGGGGATATTATTAGAATATTCAACAATTTGAGGACTAATTTAGAACAAAGGTCATAGTTTACGAATGAAATTAAATCTGATTTTTTCCAAAAAAATTTAAAATATAAAATTTTAAAAATAAAATATAAGCAAAAGAGTATGTGAGACCCTCGTACTTTAAAAAAAACTAATGTGACCCTAGTACTTCTTTTTACATTCAATATGGCCCTCAAAAGGGTATGTGAGGCCTTCGTACTTCTAGTAATTTAATTTTTATTTTAATATTTTCTCTTATATTTGTATAGTTTAAATTAAAATTTTAAAATATAAAATATTTAAAAAAATCAATTAAGCTCTTGATTTTTTTTAAAAAATATTTTGATCTTCGAACTCGACCAAAAATACCAATTTCATCTGTCACATCATCAACCACATCACCAACAATCGTTGATTATCATGTCAGCACCGTAACAGTCAACAACAAAAATTGTTAGTCAAAAGATTACATTGTGTCAATTTTTAAGTTTAAAGGTCATATTGGGTGTAAAAAATGTACGAGGACCACATTGAGGCCTCACATGCGTTTTTGTCTAAAATATATAATAATTAATTAAACAAAATCTATACCCTAATTTCTCCAATAAATAGAGTCTCGCGCATTAGTCCTAATAGCCGACGCCTAAGATATTGTAACACTTGAGGCTTTTTGGAAAATCTTCCGCCGTCGGGAATACCTCCGTTACAGGACATTTCGCCTTGGTTATGTGTTCGCCGCAATCGGTGTTTCATGAAGATAAAATGCGAACGGTGAGAAATGTCGATCTTTTTCATCCAAACTTTTAGTTTGTATTAGAATTACCATGCGCTAAGATTCAATTTTTGATTTATTTATTTGATTATTCCTATCTGTTTGTGAAAGATGTCGTCTTCTTCATTCAATTAGGAAATTATCCCAATCTAATGGTGGGTAGTTTTGTGCGGATAATCAGTGCTGCTCTTTAGAATTATTAAACAAATACACATTTCACCCCTAAAATATTAGATAAATCTTTAAGAATAGCACTTCGAAGCCGAAAGCTCTCATTCCATATGAACCAAAACACAAATACAACAATAGCTTCGGCTTGTTTACAAGCATTAATAATAAAGTTTTATTAAGCTTGCTCTCACACGAACTGAGTGACCTTCGTGGTAAATAAATTGTTGGTATTCCTCAAGTTCGAGCACTATGAATGTCAGAGTGTGAGCCTTCAATCTCAATAGGTTGAGAGTTATTTTGAACTGATACTGTTTTATACCTACCCTAAATTCATTGGAAGAAAAAAAAGCTCTCTTAACTTGACTCATGAATTTTAGATATAATGAATATATAATTTGATGGCTGTTTCATCATAAAGTGCTATGAACTTTACAAACCTAGTCAAGAATGGAGAACCCTTCGAGTTCCTTTAAAAATAAACCACAATAATATTTTTATCATTATATGCCTTTTAACATAAAGACATTAAAAATCTAAATCTAAATCTTTTGTGTAGAAAGTTACACTTGGACAGATACATGCATTGTTTTTTTCTGGAAATAAGAGGGCTTACAGTATAACATTAAAGTGAAATATATAAAGTTAAATCCCCATTTCTAGAATTTAGAAGTTTGAGTTTGTGTACACTAAGAATAAGAAACTCGTGATATTTAGTTTATTAAAATTAGTCTTTCGTCCAAATTAATTAGGGGTAAAAGTAATGGTTAACTTATAGGTAACCCAAATGGTAAATTTATTAAGTATAAACTTAAACATCACGTGCAGTGCATGTTATGGGACCCAGGTTCGAACATAATAGATGTCAGGGGTCTGACCGTTCAATGTCAATAGGTTGAACCAATACTGTCTTGTAATTACCCGGGATTAATTAAAAAAAAATCCTTGGTGTAAATCTCTCTATATTAAAGTGTTTCGTAAACAAATACTAAAAAATAAATAATTTACACAACATAACAACTTCGGTGACATGTTATCCTATATTAAAGGTTTATTTATTTTTCAACACTATCGTTTTCCATTCAAAACGACATAGCATGTGCCATAGGAATGATGGTATAGCTACTTTATTATTTATTTGGACTCATATGCATCTTGGTGTTTGACTTGCACAAATACATTATATATAAGGGTAAAGACTTAAACTATCAGTTTTGTTGCTTAAACTTTCAATTTTTTCAAAATTATATTGAAATTTTAGTTTTCATTTCATTTTAATATATTGTCGTTAAAAATTGAAAGCGTTTAGTACCCTTAAAACTATTAGTTTTGGTCAATTTTAGTACTTAAACTTTTAAATTTTTTAAAACT